GAAGGCTGAGGCGGAAGGATCACCAGAGCCCAGCAGGTTGAGGCTGCAGTGGCCGGGAGCAGCCACTGCACTCCAGTTTGGGCGACAGAGTGAGACTCCAACTCAAAACAAAACAAACAAAACAAAACAAAAATCAACCTTAGTAAAATATGTCTTCAATGAATTTTGATTGCAACCAGGCTAATTTGCCAAAAAACATAGAAAACTGTGAGAGCCGTTGTTATAGCTATTGGTAAAACTTTAGGAATTGCTGCATTTAACTAGAGAATATTTATTTACAGTTTAAATTAAAAATGTATAGTATATAATTACACATGCTTAAGTTTACTCTTTCATTCTATTATATTAATCATAATGGAGATTACAGAATGTTTAAATCAAATTTTCTGCCCATGAGCACAAACTCTGGGACCAATTAGACCTTTAAGAAAAGGGATAAGTAAATTCAATGAATATGAAATATCTTCATAAACAGTTTGCATTGTCTTCACCTCTTCACCTAGTACCTGGAAGGATAAAGAGTAAAGAATGTGTGTGTGTGTGTGTGTGTGTGTGTGTGTGTGTGTGTGTATGCTTTCTGCAAATTCCAAAATCTATCACTAACCATTTGTACTTCCCATCTTTGCTAATCATCAGATACACAGCTGTCGCTGGGTTTAAAGCAGGGGAGAAATATGAGTACTTAGTGTCATCAGAGGAATTTCTGAATCAGCTGTAAACCTTAGCTTAGATCTACACGACTTTGCCATAAGACCCCTGAAGTCAGAATACGTCATACTTCCCCAAAAGGATATGATTCCTGTAAGAGTAATACAAAAATATTATTTTTCAGCGTACTTACGGTAGCCACATTTTTTACAGCCTGCTCTGACACTGTCCTTATTGCAACCTGTAATACAATTGGATAACATTTTAGGAAATACATAAATAAGTAAAAAGCTAAAAACTTTATCACATGAAAATGCGAAGAAAACCATTTGTTGTGGATTTTCTAAAAAAAAGTCCTGACCCAGCTTAGTGACACTACTCAATTATTATGATTCTTAGAAATCAATGGGAAGGTCAACTTACTCAAATTATTTGACAAATACTTCAATAACATATTTTTTCTAATTCAATAGAATAGAATAACAGTCAACAACATAAACATTCCACGAATTCCACACTGAGGAATAAATTCCAGGACATGTTGGCTTGCCACTCAAATGTAAAATAAATTACAAGCTACATACGTGAACATTAAACTTAACAATTGTTTTTCTGTTTTACAATAGAAGAAAAAATTCTAATTGTCTTAAAGAAATTGGTGAAATTCCAGAAAATTCACTTTAATTGCTAGATATTACAAGAAGTATCTAAATTCAACACTCAAATTTTAACAAGAGAAAACAAACTATTCATAAACCCATTTTTTTTTTTTGAGTTGGAGTCTCACTCTGTCGCCCAAACTGGAGTGCAGTGGCAGCTCCTGGTCACCGCAGCCTTGCCTGCTGGGCTCCAGCGATCCTTCCGCCTCAGCCTTCCAAGGAGCTGGAACTACAGGTACGCGCTACCATGCCCGGTTCATTTTGATTTATTGTAGAGATGAGGTCTCGCCAAGTTGCCCAGGCGTGTCTTGAACCTGCGGGCTCAGGCAATCCACTCACCTCAGCCTCCCGAAGACACGGGATTACAGGCTGAGCCACCGAGCCCGGCCCATATACCCATTTTTAATGAATGATTACAAATATTTACTCTATCCTTGTGTAATTAGTAGTACATGCAGGCAATGTTAAAGATATAGATTTCAGAGATAAACTAAAGCTATTTTTTACTGCAATACAATATATCCATATTAACTATTTTTATGCGTCAATTCAGTGACATTAAGAACATTCACAATAGTATACAATCATTACCACTATTCATTTCTAAAACTTTTCATCATCCCAAACAGCAACTATACTCATTAAACAACTGCCCAGTCCCTCTTCTCTCCAGTCCCTGGTCATCTCTATTCTACTTTCTGTCTCTGTGAACTTGCCTGCTGTAGATACATACATAGGAAAATCATACAGTATTTTTCTTTTTGGGTCTAGCTTATTTTACTCAGTAGAATATTTTCAAGGTTCATCTATACCGTAGCATGTATTAGAATTTTATTCCCTTTTACAGCTAAATAATATTCCATTGTATGTATATATAGTTAAAGCTAGTTTTATGCTCCAATAGTGGCTTCAATCACCTAATGAGAGGCCCAGGACAATATTATTCCATTTTTTAGTAAAGGGCATCTAACTCCTAAACACTTGAAATGGAGCTATAACCCCAACTTAACACTTTGTACTTGGATGTCCCCCCTGAGGGGACACTGTAACCCTAGCAAACCACTCAGATGTCCCCTCTCAGGGGATATGAAGAGATTGCTGGTGATTACACAGGACAAACTTATGCCAGTGCAAATTTTTCGAAAATGTATATTTCCTTCAAGTTTTCCATTCAAATTGCCTGAAAAAAGCAATAAAGAGATGGCATATATACTAAGACATACATTTAAAAAAAATCAGTTGGAGTTACATAGAACGACAATGTGCAAACTGATTTCACAGTGGTGCACAGACTGGACAGCAAATTACATATTATTAATCTGGGAGGAAGAAAATGAGATTGCCTTGTCTGCTTGAATAGAAAAACACCAGATGGAAATGTCAAATTACTACTGCACAACATGTATCAATGAACCTGCAATGCATGTTGGTGACTGTTTCACATGTTACTGCACATCATAAAAATATAAGATATAAAATTTAGATTTTGTCATAAATAAGTTCCTCAAATTCCAAAGTTCCATTATAAGCCAAATATCATTGCTATAAAATAACTGGTTCTAATGTCATACTACTCAATATGAAGCGATTCATTTTTCACTGTTTTGTTAAAGAGTGCATTCAAGTTGCTTGTAGCTGATCCACGAGATGTCTCCAAGTATAAAGCGTTAGTAATATATTACAATGCACATAGTGCAAATATAAAACAGTGCTAATTTTAAAAGAAGTATAATTTAAAAACTAATTCTTTAATGTTATGAAGTAAAAACATGAGTTTTTTCCTCCATTCTAATATTGCTTTAAAATGTACACTATTGCTGACTATACACACACACACACACACACATTATCAAGGGGCCAGATGAGGTGGCTCATGCCTGTAATTCCAGCACTTTGAGAAGCTAAGGTGGGATGATTACTTAAGGCCAGGAGTTCAAGACCAGCCTAGGCAACATAGCAAGAACCCCATCTCCACGAAAGCAAACAAACAACAACAAAAAGCTCTACAAAATTAGCTGGGCATGGTGGTGCATACTTGCTACTTGGGAGGCTAAGGTGGGAGGACTGCTTAAGCCAGGAATTAGAGGTTACAGTGAGTTATGATTGCACCACTGCACTCCAGCCTGGGAATGGAGCAAGACCTGCCTGTTTTATACATTAAAAAGGGAGGAGGCACAAAAAACCCGGAATTTATTTAAAAATGTATATTTATTCATCCTTACACGTTTAAACTTCAGTCTTCATCAAAGTACTCTTGGTTTGATGCAATACCCCTATCGAGATGCCTTTTCCACTACTTAAAACAGTTTTTGAACTCGTCAATTTTGATGGTTTTTAGTGCTTCTGGCCGTTTTTTATTTTACCTCTTCCACATAGGCAAAACCCTTTCCCTTTGATGACATTTTTCATTGGGGAAACAAACGCACAAAAAAATCGCTCAGGGTAAGATCAAGTGAATAGGGAGGGTGGGCCACAGGGGCGTTATGCTGTTTTTGGTCAAAAACTGCTGAACACTCAGTGTGGTATGGGCAGTTACATTGTCATGGTGGAAGAAACAGTCACCTGTTAGCTACAGCTCAGGACATTTCTTCTGCAAATCATGACACAATCTTCTTACAACTTTCAGATAAAAACTTTGGCTGACAGTTTGATCTGGAGGAACAGATTTCAAGGGGCCTGTCCTTTCTGGGTCATACTGACACACAACACACACACACACATACACACACACACACACACACTGAGTTGTTCTAGTAAAAATATAGTCACTTCTGCTATAATGCTTGTTTTAAAAATGCAAATATTGTTCTAATGTAACTAATACATTAAGGAACAATTTGACCATAATGTGACTTCCACCCAAGAGAAAACATAAGTAACTGCAGAAATTGCATCCAACTGATCTGAGTCTTGCAGTATACAAAACAGGCACACATCTCAAAATATTTCTAGCGACCTCAGTTCACTACATGTGTTGTGAGCAATACCCATCCATAACTGGTGTTAAAACTTTTCATGGATTTCATATCACCATCCTCCTACTGTCACTTCATAACCACTCACAAGCTACAACTCTTCTGATGCCCACTTCCACAGCAAACTCCAGGTCTTTGTGAAGGTAAAGTGTCATATCTACTGTAGTATTTATGTATTTTGTAGCCAATTATCAAGTGTAAAACTGTGCTACTGTTTTTATTAGGCTCTAATCTTTTTTTATGTGCCACTGATGAAGTTTTTGAGTGCTGTGCTCCAATCCCATTGTTTCTCCATAGACTCTATGGTTTTTACTGCACAGTGTTAAACACATATGGTACATGTAGCAGAGTTGACTGTGGAATAAAATTGGGTTAATAATATAATCTGCAGCTCTTTCATTATGAAAACAACTGCAAGTTTAAAAAAAAGAAAGCTTACAGAATCCAGGTCAATGTTAAGTCTGTTTCCATAGAAACTATAGTTGCTAAATAATGCTGAACAAAACTATGCTAACTGCATCATTACTGTTCCTCCAACAGAATAAAAATGTTGTAGTAGATGGGTCTCAAAGTTTTATTTCAGCATGTATTAGAATTGAACTCATTTATGACAAAAGGCACTGATAAAACTCATTATTCAAGTATCTCATATTTTTAGAATGAACAAAATGTGAAACTCTTTCTGGGCGGGTTATCTTTAACAAAGTTGAAACTTACATGAGACGGAAATATAAAAGAACACTAAATGGAACTTTGTATAAGGTTTTCCTCACCAGTCTTTGGTTAAACTAAGATTTCAGCTCCATTAAGTCTTTAATTTTCATGACTGCCTGACCAAGTGACTGCTTCGACCTGAGACTTCGAATCTCAAGGAAATGGCACAACAGATTTGAGACAGTTCATCCGCTACCAGGATCCAGTTTGCAGGGGCATGGATGCCACCCAGGTCTAGGCCTGTGCAGGATCTTGAATATGAGTTTGCTTAGTCCTTTCCATTTTCTGAGCCGCCTTATAAGGCTTCGTTTAGATTCAGTGAGCACCCTGGTATCTTTCCTTTTCTGCTTAAGCTAACTTGCCAATTTCTGTTGCTTGAGTAAGAACCCTGGCTGATACAATGGTCCTTGAAGTTCACGTAAAACTGAACAGAAAGGCTTTATTTTGAGGTCCTTACTCAGCTATCTATTTCCCCATCTCAGCGTCCTGGGCTGTTCTTTGTTCCACTTTTTTCAAGTTTGCTAAGGTTGTTCAGAGTAATATAGCCTGCCCCCTTCAACATTTTTCTTTCCTAATCATAACTTGAAATCGAAGAGCCAGTAAATAAAAATGTATACACTCGACTACAAAAAAACCTGAATGAAAAAAATCATCATAAGCAAACTCAAAAGACACATGAAAACTTGGGGAAAAGTATTTGCCACTCATAGGACCAACAAAGGGCAATTTTCCCTGCTGTATAAAACCCAGCAAATCATTAAGAAAAAGACCAATAACCAACAGGAAAAAAAAAATAGGGAGAGTATCTGAACAGAAAGTTCACAGGAAAGGAACCAGAAAGAACTATGGAATATACGAAGACACACTCAGTCTTATTTATAAGTGAAATGAAA